CAAATCTGGCAATTAGATTTTCATTGTTCATTTTTATTGACACACACACACATATATATATAAGACTATAAAATTTCTTCTGCTCACTTTAATTGTATAGATTAAAGATACACAAATTCTGATACATAATGTTTTAAATCATTATTTTTTGTAATGTCTGGGCATATGACAAATCTTAGATTTGTATTTTCTTATCTAAATTGAGCTTTTAGCAAGTAAGAAGAGTGGTCTTATTATTACTACTTTGTGTAATTTATTGAATTTTTTGTAACTCAATATGTGGAGAATTGGTGAATTTTCATAAGTATTCAGTATGCATTAGGAAGCAAGATTTATTCTCTATCACCAGTGTACAAATAAGAACACTTTATTTATTGTGTTGCTTGTGTTCTCCGTATCCTTACTTGTTTCCATTCCTTTTACCTTTTTCAGTCTGAGCATGATGTGCCAGAATCTCCTGGTGTTTGTTTGCTTCTGTATCCTTGCATTTCCTGAGGTTTCTGCTTTAGGAAGGTGGCTGATATGCAGAAAGTTTCTGACTTATCTTTTCTGTGAACTGTGGCCTTTGCCTCTAAAAAGTTTTCTTCTTTGTCTTATCTGTTTTCCCTGAGTTCTACCTTATCAAATACACAATCATAATCCTGCTTTCTTTTTCCTTGCTTTTACCTTTGTTTAATTCTTTGTTTTTCAGCTTTCTCCACTGTCTTGTTAAGTTTTATCTTATGTATGCTGCAAACAGTTGGTTTTGCTTTGTGAGCCAATTTTAAAATGTTTTCTTTTAATACCTGAGTTAAATGCATTTACATTTGCTAATTATAACATATTTCATTTCAGCTTTATCAATGATTTTATTGTGCTCTTCATATAGTTTCACTATAAAGTGACTTTCAACTGTCACTTTATTAAAAAAAAAAAAGAATCTCTTTTTTCTCTTTCTGTTTTCACATTGTGTTTTGTTTCTTTTGTTATTCAGGAAGGCTTGTAACATGACCACATTGTTACCTCATCCTAACGTCCAGAGTCTCTTCTTTCCTTAGTTTTGACTACTCTGCTTGTCAGCTTTAAATGATATTCTCTGAACCCACTCTGCCTCATTCTCCTTTCTGCTCTGCTTTCCCCAGTTATTTTCTCAATTAGTTGTAAATTAAAGTTTGCAAAGTTCTTTGTTTTTATGTTATGTTGCTTGCAAGATATGGGTGATTTTATTTTCACCCCTTGTTCATCTGTATCTTCGTTTGTTTTTCAAGGCTGTGTGGAGAGATTCTAATTTAGGCTGCTGCCATTATCCTATGGACCTAGAAGCTTCTCATAGACTTTTATGAGAATTAAATGAGTTAATCTATGTGAAAGTAAAGATAGCTGATTACCCTTTGGTGCAAAGACTTTAGTAATTTGTTTTGTTTTTGTTTTTGTTTTTGTTTTTTGCTTTTAAAGATAACACTTTTTTTTTTTCTAACTACTGTCTATTAACCCTTTTATGGGGAGTATTTTTGTCACCTTCCACTTCCTAACATGCTTTCTGTTTTGCCACATAGATATTTTCTGATTTGCTAGGTAGAAAGGTACAGGAGGTTGAGAGCAGGGTGACATCTCAGTGGGCTTCCCTGGAGATAGTAAACAGAAATGAACAAGCTGGAAGAGAAAGCACCAAACAGGAGTATAAATTGATAAAAAAGAAAATAGAGAGGAAATAACTTTTCAGTTCTCTTGCATTCTACTTAGACTTGCTCCAGGCGACAAACAAGGCTGAATAGCAGGCTGGTTTTCAATGCACCAACTAGCCTAGATTCAAATAAGAACACTAGAAATTCTTTTGAGCAACAGCTATATTTAGTTAACTTATTCTTTCAAGATGGCATTGCACTTGAACTCTAAGGAATAACAATACATTATATATATAGTCAGTGACCTCCCTGAAGGTTTAAAACATATGACAAAATAGGCAAGAGTTTATTTAACATTATGTTCACAACAACTCAAGAATTTTAAATTTTTGTTATATGCCTTTTAAACAGAAGAAATAATGAAGATTCAAATTCAGAGAGATTGAGTGAATGTTAGAAAGCCATATAATTAAAAAAAGAGCAGAGCAGTGGTTTGAATCCAATGTTTCTGTGCTCCAATATAATATAATTTAAGAAGATAAAGAAGGGCAAGATGAGTGGCAGTAACGGACATATTTTAAATGCTTAGAGGACAAGAAAGTTATTTGTGGTTGGAATGGTCTGAGATGTTTCAGAAAATGTTGGGTTTGTAGATTCACTCCCCTCCAGTGCCTGGCAGCATTTGTGTTCCTAATTCCTGTGTATCCCACTTGTACTTAGACTCTCTTTTGCTCTGTGACTCTACCAAGAATGGTTCTTCTGTCTTACAAAAAAAAAAAAAAAGAAAAAAGAAACAAACACTTTTTTTGCACAGAGACCTTCAGGCAGGAGCCTCTTTTAAATTAGAGATGGTAATTAATATCATCACTGGGTCCTGAGAGGGGAGCTTGATTGAGACTGCAGGAACAGAGAGTGACAAGCTACAGATTGACTGTTATCTGATCAGGAGGGCTAGTGTTTGAATTCACTTGGAGGAATAAAGACAGTCTAGGAACTGATCCTTTGATCCAGATAAACACCAGCAGGGTGTGAAGTGGTCTTGGAATGACGTAAGGCTGAGTCTGTTATGAGAATGGGGGGGTTATAAATATCAGAACAGCAGGAGATAGAAGTGATTCTAATGAAATTAGATGAGACTACTGACAGGGTCCCATACGGTCCCACCATTTCATGGTAAATAGATGGGGAAACAATGGAAACAATGACAGACTTTAATTTCTTGGGTTCCAAAATCACTGCAGATGGTGACTGCAGCCAGACAAACCCAGACAGCATATTAAAAAGCAGAGACACTGCTTTGCCAGCAAAGGCCTGTATAGTCAAAGCTATGGTTTTTCCAGTAGTCACGTATGGATGTGAGTTGGGCCATAAAGAAGGGGGAGTGCTGAAGAATTGATGCTTGTGAACTGTGGTGTTGGAGAAGACTCTTGAGAGTCCTTTGGACTGCACGGAGATCCAACCAGTCCATCCTAAAGAAAATCAGTCCTAAATATTCATTGGAACGACTGATGCTGAAGCTGAAACTCCAATATTTTGGCCACCTGATGCAAAGAACTGACTCATTGAAAAAGACTGATGCTGGGAAAGACTGAAGGCAGGGGGAGGAGGTGATGACAGATAATGACATGGTTGGATGGCATCACTGACGCAATGGACATGAGCTTGAAAAAGTTCTAGGAGATGGTGAAGGACAGGGAAGCCTGACCTGCTGCAGTCCATGGGGTCACAAAGAGTCAGACATGTTTGAGCAACTAAAAACAATAACATTGATGGGAACCTGGCTCTCTGGAACTGTTTCTTCAACTCCCTGGAGGTGGCATTCCTGTTAAACGTATTTAAAATGGAGCATAAGAGAAGAGAACTACGGAATAACAAAGTAAATTTGGTGAGCCCAAAGTTCAAGCAAATCTCAAGTATTCTCCATTTCTGTATCCAGGTATATGGCAATATCCTAGGATATTAAGACAGAAAGACCTCAAAGAAAAATGGCTCCATTATTTCCATTTTATAGATGAAGAATCAGTGTTCTCACTGTTCAACCTCTGCCCGACTCTCCTAAAACAAAATTAGAACACTTGGCCCAGGGACAGAACTGAAATCTTATTCTAAAGCTATGAAAGGCTTATTTTCACAAAAAGGGCAGCTTTTTGTTGAAAACTCTAAAGTGGAATGTAGGTGGTGGGGAATATCAGAAATAGCCATATTTGAATCTTACCTTCATTATTTATTTGGAACTGGGTGGTTATGGGAAAAATCACTTATCTATCTTGAGCCTCAGTTTTTTCATCCTTAAAGTCTAGATAATAATCCATAGCTTGTAGAAAAATCTAAGCAGATGGAGTGATTTCCTCTACATGAAGAAGGCACAGGGAAAAAAAAAGCAATTTTAAACTGTTTATGAAAGATGGTTGAACCATGGGAAAGGGGGTAATGGAGAATGATGGTTCAGGCAGAGGAAACTTAGAGGGAAAAAATAAAACAAATTTTACATTTATTTGCACATTTAATTCTACAGTAACACTGTCAGGTAAGGTACTCTGGTCTTCATTGTAGAGATGAGAAAACTGAAGCAGAAAGATTAGGTTATTTGCTCAAAGTCACGTACAGAACAAATTCAAAGTCTGATCTGCACCAAGGAATGAGAAGCAAACAAAATATTCTTAAATGTGGTAGAAGAGCCAGCTCTGTGCATGCATACATTATCAGCTCAGTTCAGATACTCAGTTGTGTCTGACTTTTGTGACCCCACGGACTGCAGAACGCTAGGCTTCTCTGTCCTTCACCATCTCCTGGAGCTGGCTCAAACTCATGTAATCAAGTTGGTGATGCCTTTCAACCATCTCATCCACTGTCATCCCTTCTCCTAATCTCTTCTCAATCTTTCCCACCATCAGGGTCTTTTCCAATGAGTCAGTGCTTCGCATCAGGTAGCCAAAGTATTGGAGCTTCAGCTTCAGCATCAGTCCTTCCAATGAATATTCAGGACTGATTTCCTTTAGGATGGACTGATTTGATCTTCTTGCAGTCAAAGGGACTCTCAAGAGTCTTCTCCAACACCACAGTTAAAAAGCATCAATTCTTCAGCATGCAGCTTTTTCTATGGCCCAACTCTCACATCTATACATGACTACTGGGAAAACCATGACTTTGACTAGACAGACCTTTGTTAGTAAAATGGGATGTCTCTGCTTTTTTAAATTTTATTTATTTATTTTTTTTGCTGATCTGGACTTTATTAAGATGAAATCACTGATAATTACACAGAAGTTACTTGCCTAAGCAAAAATCCTTGAGATTCACATGAACTTAGTTACCCAAATAAATGGCATGTTCAAAGCCAGGAGGAAATATCCCAATGCTCAGGTGATGAAGGCTGAGGTGAACAAATATGAACACCTATTTCAAGCTCTTAAGCAGTTTGTGGGCCTCACAGTGGTCCCTTGCATGCAAGAAGTCAAAGAGCTCCTCTGTGCAGCCCTCCTCTGCCTGTGACCTGGAGGACACACGCTCATCACAGAGCCCTAGCTGCTCCCGAGCCTTTACACATTTCTCCAGCTGCTCAAATTGCTCTCTTACTGTTGTCAGGGGATCCACTAATTCCTCCTCCTCTTCTTCCTCCTCCTTGGGATCTCCGGACCTGGTCAGCATCCTTTGCTCATCCTCTAGGCCCATCTTTGGCTGTGGTTCTGGTCTGCTTTTTAATATACTATGTAGGCTTGTCATAGCTTTTCTTCCAAGGAACAAGCATCTTTTAATTTCATGGTTGCAGTCACCATCAGCAGTGATTTTGGAGTCCCTCAAAATAAAGTCTGTCATGTTTCCATTGTTTCCCCATCTATTTGCCATGGAGTGATGGGACCAGATGCCATGATTTTTTTTTTTTTTTTTTGCATGTTGAATTTTAAGCCAGCTTTTTCACTCTCCTCTTTCACTTTCATCAAGAGGTTCTTTAGTTCCTCTTCACTTTCTGCCATAAGGGTGGTGTCATCTGCATAGCTGAGGTTATTGATATTTCTCCCAACAGTCTTGATTCTAGCTTGTGCTTCATCCAAGCCAGCATTTTGCATGATGTACTCCACATGTAAGTTACATATTCAGGGTGACAATGCACAGCCTTGACGTACTCCTTTCCCAATCTGGAACCAGTCTGTTGTTCCATGTCTGGTTCTAACTGTTGCTTCTTGACCTGCTTATAGATTTCTTAGGAGCAGGTAAGGTGGTCTGGTACTCCCATTGCTTTAAGAATTCTCCACAGTTTGTTTTGATCCACACAAAGGCTTTAGCATTATCAATGAAGCAGAAGTAGATGCTTTTCTGGAATTCTCATGTTTTTATCGATGATCCAATGGATGTTGGCAATTTGATCTCTGGTTCTTCTGTCTTTTCTAAATTCACTTGAATGTCTGGAAGTTCTCAGTTCATGTACTGTTGAAGCCTAGCTTAGAGAATTTTAAGCGTTAGTTTGCTAGCCTGTGAGATGAGTGCCATTGTGTGGTAGTTGGAACATTCTTTGGCATTGCCTTTCTTTGAGAATGGAATGAAAACTGGCCTTTACCAGTCCCATGGCCACTGCCGATTTTTCCAAATTTGCTGGCATATTGAGTCCAGCACTTTCACAGCACTGTCTTTTAGGATTCAAAATAGTTCAGCTGGAATTCCATTACCTCCACTAGTTTTGTTCATTGTGATGCTTCCTAAGGCCCATTTGACTTCACAGTCCAAGATGTCTGACTTTGGTTATCGGGGTCATTAAAATCTTTTTCATAGTTTTTCTGTGTATTCTTGCCACCTCTTCTTAATATCTTTTGCTTCTGTTAGGTCCATACCATTTCTGTCCTTAATTGTGGTCATTTTTGCATGATATGTTCCCTTGGTATCTCTAATTTTCTTGAAGAGATCTCTAGTCATTCCCGTTCTATTGTTTCCCTGTATTTCTTTGCATTGATCAAGTAAGAAGGGTTTCTAATCTATCCTTGCTATTCTTTTGAACTCGATATACAGATGGATATATCTTTCCTTTTCTCATTTGGCTTTTACTTCTGTTTTCTCAGCTGTTTGTAAGGCCTCCTCAGACTACCACTTTGCCTTGTTGTATTTCTTTTTCTTGGGGATGGTTTTGATCATTACCTCCTGTACAATGTTATGAATGTCTGGCCATAGTTCTTCAGGGAGTCTGCCTATCAGATCTAATCCCTTGAATCTATTTGTCACCTCCGCTGTATAATCGTAAGGGATTTGATTTAGGTCAAACCTGAATATTCTAGTGGTTTTCCCTACTGCCTTCAATTTAAGTCTGAATTTGGCAACAAGGAGTTCATGGTCTGAGCCACAGTTGGCTCCTGGTCTTTTTTTTGCTGACAGTATAGAGCTTCTGCATCTTTGGCTGCAAAGAATATAATCAATCTGATCTCAGTATTGACCATCTAGTGATATTCATGTGTAGAGTTGTCTCTTATATTGTTGGAAGAGGGTGTTTGCTATGACCAGTGCATTCTCTTGGCAAAACTCTGTTAGCCTTTGTCCTGCTTCATTTTGTACTCCAAGGCCAAACTTGTCTGTTACTCCAGATATCTCTTGACTTCCTACTTTTGCATTCCAGTCCCCTATGCTGAAAAAGACGTCTTTTTTTGGTGTTAGTTCTAGAAGATGTTGTAGTTCTTCATAGAACTGTTCAACTTCAGCTTTTTCAGAATTAGTGGTTGGGGCGTAGACTTGGGTTACTGTGGTATTGAGTGGTTTGTCCTGGAGATGAGCAGAGATCATTCTGTTGTTTTTGAGATTGCACCCAAGTACTGCATTTTGGACTCTGGTTGACTATGAGGGCTACTCCATTTCTTCTAAGGAATTCTTGCCCACAGTAGTAGATATAAAGGTGATCTGAATTAAATGCATCCATTCCAGTCCATTTTAGTTCACTGATTCCTAAAATGTCAATGTTCACTCTTGCCATCTCCTGTTTGACCACTTCCAATTTGCCTTGATTCATGGACCTAATATTCCAGCTTCCTATGCGATATTGTTTTTTACAGCATTGGACTTTGCTTCCATCTGCAGTCACATCCACAAGTGGGTATTGTTTTCACTTTGGCTCTGTCTCTTTATTCTTTCTGAAACTATGTTTCTACTCTTTTCCAGTGGTTTATTGGGCACCTAGTAACCTGGGGAGTTCTTTCAGTGCCCTATCTTTTTGCCTTTTCATACTGTTCATGGGATTCTCAAGGCAAGAATATCGTAGTGGCTTGCCATTCCTTTCTCCAGTCAATACGTTTTGTCAGAACTCTCCACCATGACCCGTCCATCTTGGGTGGCCCTACACAGCATGGCTCACAGTTTCTTTGAGTTAGACAAGGCTGTGATCCATGTGATCAGGTTGTTAGTTTTCTGTAATTGTGGTTTTCCTTCTGTATTTACATTATATATATATAAAATGTGTATATACAGATACGTAATATATAAATGTATACATTATATGTTAGATACATACACACACACATATATATAGTGTGTGTGTGTGTATATATACATATATATATATATATATATATATATATATATATATATATATCTACTGGCATGTACTTGAGTAAAGAAAGTTTGGACCTAGGGAGAGAAGGAGGAACCAGTTAGAAATATAATATAACAGTCCAGGTAACAGATGATGGCAATTAGAACAAATGCAGCAGAGGTAAAAGTGATGAGTGACAAAAGATATACTTAGGAGATAACTTGATATTGCAAAGTGAGAAAGTATGAACCATCAAGGATTACTGTGAGATGAGGAAAGATGGTGATGATAATATAGTTTAACATTATATATAGTTTATATGATAGTTTATATGATACATAGTTTAGAATAGTTGTTTGCAAGCCTTTAATATGAAAGTGAACAAGTGACTCTACAACTGGGACATATTATCTTTAATCCAGACCCTAAATATCTGCCCATCACCATTTCACTCATTCCTTACTTCTTAATTTCAGGATAATAGAGTTCCAGAGTTGCAAAAATAGATTATTAGATATTTAGAGTCTGGATTCAAGATAAAATGCCACACAACTGTGTTATTTTGTGTATATTTGTGTGCCCACACTTATACAGTAACCTGGGACAGAAGTCAAAACAGGCATGTCAAAATGTTCACCATCAGATTATGTTGGTTGAGTATATACTTTTCCCCATTGAATGCTATCATTTCCATGTTAACCTCCAGCACTTCTAAAGAAGAGAAGCCATTTTATTTCATTTAGAAAAAATACCTGTGTCATAGTCATCAGTGAAATATTTTGAAGTGACTAAAAATGTTGCTTCTGGGGGAAAAAAAATGATATTGACCTAAAGGAATGTTTCTTACACTAAATAAAGTATATACACAAATTTGTATGCACAGTCTACAAAACAAGTGACCAATACTTCTCAAACTGTCAAAGTCATCAAAAATAAGAAAAGTCTGAGAAAATTGTCATAATCAAGAGGAGACTAAATGTAATGTAGTATCCCAGATGGAACACTCAAACAGAAAAAGCAGCAAGTGAAAGAGCAGAGGGTTCTTCAGCAGTAAAGCATCTGCCTGCAATGCAGGAGACACAAGTTCAATCCCTGGGTCAAGAAGATCCCCTGGAGAAGGAAATGGTAACCCACTCTAGTATTCTTGCCTGGGAAATCACATGGACAGAGGAGCCTGGTGGGCTACAACCCATGGAGTCTCAAAAACTCAGACAGGAGTTAGTGACTAAACAACAGCAATAACAAAGAGCAGACAGAAATTTTTTTCTGTGCAAATTCCCAGGCATCTGAATGCTTAGGAGTCCTGAAGTTTCATACATGTATCCTTAAAATCACTTATTTTTTGAAATCTTTCAGAAAAAAGACTTACCTGAAGATCTGTTTTAACATGTGCTAAGTGGCTTCTATTTTCTGTTTTATTTTAATGCATAAGTTGACCCCTCAGTGTTGAGTAGCTCCATAGGGAGATAAAGCACATGCTCAAGATGCTAGCAAAGCAGAGATGCTAACAAAACAGAACCTTTTTTTTTTTTAGATGATGATATCTGATATTTATCAACCTTATTATGGGAAGGTGTTACTTAGATTTTTTAATTAGCTTGAGCTCTACAGAATTGCCAGTTTTCAACTTGGAAAAGAAAAAGCTAACTTCATATGGTTCAATCTAGTGCCTTGTGGAATATGCAGCCTATCTTTCTGTTGTTGGAGGCATCTAAGGACTCCATCCAACTCTGCTGCCAGCACAAGCTCTTAATAAGCAGCTCTTACTTTGAGTGGTCAACATTGTAAAATAATCTGCAAAGTGTCTGTTTCCACCCTCTTCACTCACCTCTCCCAATCTGACCTCCTACTTTCAAATTAAGTGAACTAACTCTGGCAGTACCCCAAGCAAACTCGGTGATGCTTTTAACTCAAGAACCCAGACAAAGGCCTGGCAGATTTTGTGGAAAGGTTTTTGAAAGTTAGGAAAATTTCCATCTTCATTTAACCCTCTAGGACTTAGATTTTTCAGGGGGACCAGGTCCCATGACTGGTGTGACATTTCCCGAGTTGAGGGAGCTGAGCATCTCAGTAGCGAGAGACTGAGGAAACATTGGAAGAGAGGGTCTGGAAAAAGTATTTGGTTTGTTAAAAAGGCTCCCGCGCCCCTCCGTTGACCTGCATTGCA